CCTGCCCTCCTCGCCGGGACCGCCGCGGGGTGTGCGGGCGGCCTCACCCCCGCCGCGGAACTAAAATTAGGAAAATGTCAGGGATGGGAAAGATTGATTCGCCCAAGATGCAATTATCATTTAAAAAGTGCTTGATTGAGGTGCTGATGCGCAGTGATTTATTCTGCATACCATATACATAATTAAAGTAGCGTAGCGGAGTAATTTATCAATCTAGTTCAGACTAGAGGGGCAAGGAAGGGAGCTGCCGCCGCCGCCGCCGCTGTTTGTTTTATTAAAGCGCTTTCGGGATCTGATCCCGCCCCCTTTTTGCAAGAGTGAAACTGATTATTTCTCCAGCTCGGGAGGAGAGAGTCATTCGTTTGGGATTGTGGGAGAGGGAGAGGGAGAGAGGCAGAGAGGGGGAGAGAGCAATAAGAGACGCGGAGAAGGAGAAGAACAGGGAGGACGAGGGCGCGGAGCGGGAGCGAGGAGACCCCGGCGGGCGTGCGGCGCCGGTCCCTGCCTCGCCTCCCCCTTCCCCTCCGCGATGTTACAAAGGCTGTGAGCTGCTCGCCTTTTCCCATTCGCCTGCTGTCACTTCCTTCCTGGACGCTCTCAGGACGAGTCCGGTTACTTTTAATCCGACCAGCAGCTCAGCCACTTTCTCCTCCTCCACGCTGCACACACGCACCGGCGCGCACACACACGCACAGGCACACCCGCACACCCACACACACACACACACACACACACCCCCCCCCGACATCTCCCGGCTGCTTATTGGATTGACTTTGAAGGTTGTGTGTGTGATTCAAGGAGGCTGCATGTTGAACCAGGTGGTGAATATTTAAGGCTGGAAGAAGTAAAGGGATTTTTTCTTTTTCCTGTGAAGGGAAAATATCTCAAGGACTAGTCTGACCATCCAAACAGCTAAATGTTTATTATGTAAGTACATGTGAAACTCAGCATCGGAATAAAATATAGCGGGCATGGTGCGACAGCCCTATGTATGTTTCCTGTTGCGTTTGGAGAATGTTATCGGTCATTGTATGTGGACTGGCGTTGAGGTTGCTCGCAGACTTTTTAAGCCTGCGATCGCACCGTCAGTTGCTTAAAAGTAACTTTTTAGACGAGTAACATAGTTAAATCACTGTCTAGTAGATTATTGCTGACTTGTCTCTATCAGTGTCTTCAGTGTTTAAACTTTGATGAAGTTAGTTTGCATTGTTTGTCTGCTCGGTATTGTGCAGTGTTCAAAGCTTACTTGATTTGAATAAGTTCACCCCAATGCTATGACCTTGTAGTGCTTGCACCCTGATTTATCCGACTAAGGAAACAATCCAGTTTGACTGAAATGCTCTTAAACTTCATTGTTATCGTAGCCTCTTCAGTTCTGGAGTTTAGGTAATGCATGCTTGCAAGCGTTTAACTTTGCACATCTTTCGTTTGAATACTTAACGTTGGAGATGGAACGACCCCTTGCATGGATGTGGGAATTTAAGTCATGGGCTGCAAACCTCTTTTGGAATAGTGTGCTCCGGTCTTTACATAGTACTTCGAGTAATCTTTACATTTTTTAACACAAGGGAGCAGAGCTAATCAGCCTTACAAAACTGGCTGGTTTAGTTGCAGCACAGTTACTTACAAGCTAAGATAAAGTTTAATGTAAATGAGAGACTTTATGAGACTATTGGTGCATTATGTAATACTTGGCGTTTCCCATAAAACTTAGTGTGACCTTCTGTCAGCCTGAAAAAGAAGTATAAAGACAAGCTAATAATTCCTTTTCTCAAGGAAAAAAAAAAAAAAAAAAAAAAAAAGGAGCAGCAGAATGCAAAACAAAACTTAATGAATCATTGTGGGAAGCTAAGCATTGTCTTTTATAAGAGAGTTCTATTTTCTTTATTTTATGTAATAATTATTATTAGCAAATACCTGTATCCTGAAATTAAATACCATAATACACAACTTAAGACTAAAGATTTAAGAGAATTAAGCAGAGAAAGGCACTTTGCCAGTATTTTGCTGGTGATCAGAAAAGAACTGTCTTGACACAAAATGCATTTCCCTAGCACTTATCTGAGGATCAGCTTTATGGCAAATGTCCTAGTTTCCTATCTTTGAAAGAACTACAGGGTGGATGATAAACCAATTATATTAGATGCAAATGTGACTAGACTTCTTTTATTGGCACTTTCCCGGGTATTGTGGTTGAAGAGTAAAGATGTTTATGTGGAGTATAATAACTCCAATCCCCAGAGGCTTGGCAGGGCATGGAAATATAACCACCTGTGAACCAGTTCTAACCTCTGTATTGCATACATACTGATTTCCAGTTCAAACGCTCGGGCAAATGGCCACTGTGGGGATTTCTTATTTTGTGAACTATTTTTGTTACATGGTTTTAGGTACCTAACATGAAGTCAAAAAAGCCCGCAAGGCTTTCCTCCTTTGTCAGTTTTATTAAAATACCTGTTATATTATTCTTTCTATATTAATTAATATATCGTTCATGTCGAGTCTAATACTGAAGTCTCTGCTCGCACTTAAGTCTCTTCGGAAGTAATGGAAAAATTCCTTTAAGAAGAACTTAAGAGAATGGCCCTTAATTCAGGGTGGCTATGGCCCTTGTAGTACACAGCCTTTCATTTTAAAAACTTGCTGTTAATACGTATTTTTACTAATATGCCTTACATAGCTAGTGTGAGAAGGTAGCTCTGGGACCTGAACATGAAAACCTTCTTTCATGCAAACGGTGCTTACACAACTGGTCCCACTGACAACGCTGAGGCTACTTGTGTGAAAAGGAACAAGTTGCAGGAATAACAATTTACATGATCAGGCCCCTAGGAGAGCTAAACCTTCTTGCCTGTCCCATAGCTCTCCTAGGACAGAGATGTAAAGAATGTCACTTTCGATGTCCTATAAATGAATGCAGGAATCAGGTATGTCTGTATCCTCTTAAGATTACTTGACCAAGAAAAAAAGGAAACTTAGGCTTTAAGAGTCTTATAGAAATTGGTACTAAATGATGAACTGTGTGTGAGATTAAGTCTTTCAGAGTTGTATTCCTCAGCTACTGCTCTTGGGGCGTCGTAAGAAAATGCATACAAATACTTTATCACTGTGAATTTTCTTTCAATGCAGAATCAGAAAAAAATTATTATTTTTTTATAACCAGTCTTAATTTGTGTAACTGCCACATGTATATTCAAAACCAGAGAGATGCCTCTCTTAAATGGTTCTGGTTTTTAAAACATCTAAAATATTAGAGAACAAAGAGAAATGAAGCTTTCTGAAGCTTCTTCCAAAAGTTTACCTCTGAAGGATTTTGATAGCTCGCTATTTAGTAGGTGAATATAACTATATAGAAACTTAGGAACTGAGCAGGAGCTGTGAATAGAATAGTTTTGCTAGCTTTGTTTCTTTTAATTTTACTTTTCTCTATAACAGGTTATTTTATTGTTCACCAGACTAGTTCAGTTCATCTTCAGAGACAGCTCAGGATAATTCTACATCTCATTGAGCAAGAAGTCATTAACTGCTATTAGGTGCTTGAAAGAGTAAGCATTTGGGTTTTGATACCTAGACTCCATTTTTACCTGTTGGACATTATTATTCTAAATTACATGATAATTTAGCCAAAAAACCAATTAAGGTATAGTGGTATTCTTTCAAAAACACTGATTATGAAGATGAACATAAATAACGTGCTATATAATTTCAAGGAGTTTATTGTCTCTGCTTCAGCATTTTGAAGAATAACCAAAACAGTTATATTTGTGATGTATTTTAAGATTTTTAAATTTTGCTATATTATATCAGCAGAGAGGTTTTGCTATGTCCTTATTTAGGCTATATAGTGACTTAGGTATAAAATGAAAAAAAAAATTATATATGTAATTCCAAACAGCTAGAAACCTTCAGGCGTAAGTGTAGGGTTAGTATTCTGGTATTTGAAAGGGACAAAAATACAGTTTTGCATGTTATTTCAGTAACAAAATGGGCTTAGAAGAACTCTGGTCAGCAAACACAACTGAGGGTGCAAGTGAAAAATTGAAAAATTCTCTTTTTCAATTTTTCTATTTTTAAAAGGAATTATTGGGGTCCTCTGGCCAGCTTTCAGGTAATTTCCTCAGAACTGATGGTCGATGTTGCATGTGGACAGGTGATTAAAAGCTGGTGTCTTCAGTCCTCCACTTTAATCTCACTATCTCATTGACTGCAGTGCAGTATAGCCTGTCTATTCACTGGGATCTGTCATCTTTAGGAAATCAGACCAGCTTATAGAGGCGATTCACAAAACCAACAGTGACAACAAAGTCTTATGTGCCTTACAAAAGAAGGATTAGGCAGTTCACATGTCATTTTGATTGGGCAGAGATAAAAGCTGATTGCTGCAGCATGGCAAGGCACACTTCAATTTCAATTGATTGTTTTATAAGACAACTATAACTCTGTTGCTTAGTCATTGTTAAATGCAATTTGAAGGAAGGAAAGCTCAATTTTGACATTACTGATTTCGTATGACTTTGTAGTAAAAGGTAGAGCCACTTGTAGCATCGTTATACAAATTCGTAAAACTCTGTTTAATTCACCACTTTGGGGAAATATATTTAAAATGTAGTAGATGATTGTCCTGAGGTTCTTTAAAAACATTTTTATCTAGATGATACCCTGTAATAGCAATTAAAAGTTCTTAAAAGTGCCTAGGACTATCCTAAATTCACTGCACTTACCTATTAAGAGCTTATGTGCAGAGGAGAGTGCATAAAACATGTCAGGGTTTGCAGGTTTCTCAGAAAGTATAATATTGAGGAATAAGTAAGTCATCTTAGTTTACCTCTATTGGGTTATTTTTCAAAATGCAATATGGTGTAAAACTATACTTTATGTTGCATATGTGAATGTAGTGGTCTGTTTTGAAAATAGTTAGGAAATTCAGTGTTGTCCCTATATTACTAAATATATCATTTATCAGTGAGAATAGAGAGTTTCGGCTATTTGCATAATTTAGTTATAACCTACAGGCTTTAACATTTGGAAGTATGAAACTTCCAAGCTGATAACTTCTATGCTAATTTCTTTCCATTTTTCAAAAGAAGAACTCTTTTTTTTTTTTTTTACCCAACTGATGCCTCCTAGTGTTTCACATAATAAAACACTAATGAGTCAACCATAAATGTAAACATTTTTTTCATTGTCTTCATCTTATGTGATACATAAAATTAATATTTATGTATTTAATTTTGTGTGTGTTATTATAATCAGACAGGAAACTCCTGTAAATTCAGATGTTTCATCTCAATGGACACTGAAAGCACATTTTGATTTTCTTTCATTCTAGCTTTGCCTAGCTGTATTTTGAAAAGTTGATGTTATATGTGAAGTACATTTTCTTTTTCCCCTTTTGTTTCCTTTGTGCATTACACTAACTTCTCAACAATGTATTACGAGGCTCAAATGGGAATGTAAAAAATTTTGGTAGGATAAGATTTCAAAAAGTAAGCCCTTGGAAATAGGCAATAAATGCAGCTACAGAAATATTTGAAATACCCTGAAGTACCTCACGGCCAAATAAGATGAAAAAGACTAGTCTGAGACACGCTCGCTCATTACAGTCCTTAAAGAATAGTTAAGCTATCACATTTTGTAATTGCTCCTGGTTATTTTACTGCTGCATAAGCCAGAAAACTGTATTAGGACAGTTTTGAAATATGCAAAACGTGCACCTTACGGTTCTGAATGTAGATGTGGATGAGCAGTACTTTTGAAAAGGAATTCGTGTGCGTAAAATACTGAAGCAGAGCTTGGAGTGGTAAAGACTGAAATATTGTGTCCTTTTCTTAGAAGTCCAGTCTAGCCATATAACTCATGAATACCTGAAAAAACATTCAGTTATACTAGTTTTATATCATAAAACAGTAGAATATTTTCTTTTTCTG